TGCAACCTTTTCATCGAAAAAAAACCTCAGTATTTTTTATCGAGAATTGCTATCAGTGTGTCAGTCGCAAGAACCACGTCTTTTCGGAGGCTCGTTGAGCTGTTTGATTGAGTGCACATGCACCTAATCAGCGGACGTCTGATCTGGGTATGCTCTGATGAGCACTGGTGAAAATTTGCTACGTGTAGAGTCATACTCCAAGGACAGTGGTTGATCGTTGGGAACTCATTTTGCTCAGTGAAAGAAAGGTTGTTGGTCCTGGATAGGATATAACGAAGTTAGTACTGCGAACAGTGTACAGTACATTACGCTTGTGACACCATTTTATAAATGCAATATCATACAATTCTACAAATCTCACATCGCGATCTTATGTAGTCGTAGATGTTCATAAGGACCGAAAGATTAGCATTATAAATATGATAAACTTTTGAAAAAAAGAATGCGCGTACACATAGGTTGCCAGTCGCCCATTAGTGTTTATGCATTTGAATTGCATTGAACTTTTAGTTGAAGCATCTTATGTGCAATTACTATAGCCCAATATGTATAGACCGTGCCACTATCCTTCATTAAAATTGTAACACAATTCACATTTAACTGTCGCCTCATACGAGGCCCGCATGTCTAAGACACCGTCAGGTTTTCCAGATCAACCTTAAATAGTCTTTGCTCAATGAGATCTGTATCTATGACACGCAAAACACCCAGCCTTGCTGGTTCTGAGGGTGCACCCGGCAGAGCTCATATTTGTCTTCTGCACCAGGTGCATCTTCGGACATTACGTCCGCGGCCTCACGGGAAGCACAACCCAAGCCCACGTCAACCGGGCCACACACACCGCACCCGATAACGGGCGACAGATTTCCTCGTGAAGGATCTGAAGGAAGTCAACTATGAGCCAAACAGAAAGTAGAAGGTGGCGCTCTACGCGCACGTCCACCTCCTTGTGGATTCGCTGTAAGGTAGAAAGCGAGGAAATTTTTTCGGTGCCGCTGCATTCATCGCTCAATAAGCTCATCATCGTCTGCACATCTGCAGCGGTTTTGCCAGAAGCGAGCACCGGAGGCATAGCGCGCATTGCGAGTACAGGAGCGACTTCAGCTGCTACCCCTGTGCCTCGTCGAGGCGATTAGTAATAATACCACCTCCCCCGGAAGTTGGGAGGACACGGGTTTTGCGAAGTTTGAGCAGGACTTACATCGCGCCGTTGGTGCAGATCACCCTCCTCTTCTTCTTATCCTGGGAAAGGAGTATCCGGGGTAATATCATGCATGTGCACGTGTAAAATACTATAATGAGCTAAACTTTCGCTGCATGCGTTAGCAATTTTGGCTAACATGCAGGTTCCGGCATAGTCAGTGTGGACATTTACAAGTCTCTTAAAAAACGCGACCGGTGTTGTGGTCATATTACGCCATCTCAGCAAACTAATATGAAACAGCTAACCTATTCGTCGGCAAAGTTTTTTGCTTGCATGGCTTGCCCGTATCCATTGTATTGTAATTAAACCCGCTTTTAAAACGATGTTTTGACACAGGTGCTAGGTACCAGATTAGGCGTGTCAAACGAAAATCATCCGTAATTGAATGATCAGCCGGTCAGTTTTATCCGCTTTGTGGATGATATGATCCAAAGAACTTGGGAGGAAAGACCCTGTGCTGAAGCAAGTTGCACCCAGTTATTGAGTTTGCGGTATATACAGCAGTGCAGGTCCTCCAAGCTTTATCCTCATTTCATTAAGGGTTTGCTCCAGAACCAGATGCCTTTGGCACCATCACAGTCGGCCCCAATCCCTGTTTTGTAGTGGCTTTCGATCCAATTCGACTAGCTGATACAAGGCCCGCTAAAAATCGAGGTAAGATGAGTGCGTTTCTCCAAATTAGATTGTGTGTCAACATAGGGTACGCGGCTTTCTGGCTGAGAGCTAGGATTACGATCACGATACGCCAATACCAGAGGCAGGCGAGATACACAAATATGTTGTGGGGTAAATGTCTTTTAGTGTATGAAATTACCAGAATCTGCGGTCCATAAAGCTCAGTTACGATCGCACTTATTATGATAAATTATCGTCGTAGCGTAGTTTACTTTGTGCGTTTCTGCAGGAATCCAGACACATTGTAGTCCCTATGTGGGCTCACTGAAGCCATGCCAGTCGAACGCGAAGCTTTCTGATGTAGACGGAGCAGCAACTGTCATAAAGCGTAATGTTTATGTTTGTCTGGCAAACAATTTTCATGTTAGAGATTATCTTCTAGCTTTGCATGGGTCACTTTTACAAGATATAACGATGTTTTCATTTGTCACTTTCTCTTTTTGTCCACTTGATGCTGTTGTTGACATCACAAATATGAATACACATAACTATACTCAAAGTTGTATACACTTGGTAATTTAATCCAAAGGTAGCTATGTGCTGCATAACATCGGAAGCGTGGATAGAAAAGTCTACTAAGCAACACATTGTCCTAGCTGCTGGCCACAAGGTCGCAAGAAACTTACGATCTGTATCGATAACATGACGACCGACATCACAAACAAGATATTTATGACCCTGCAAAAGTCTTTGTCGCAGCAGTAGGTGGTAACAATTACAAGACACAAGATCGCGTTTTAAGAAATCCAACCATCGGCCCGTACCATTCTCCAGCTCTTTGTCGGCCTTCAAAATGTAACAGAAGCAAATACAGTAATAGTGATACCGTTCAAACTAATGAGGATTCTACACAACTAAATAAAATTGGAGCAAAGTACCTTAGTTATCAAGATAGCGATGACATTGGACATACATTGAAGAAGCTTCTTCAGAGATGGATTAGTGTCATCGACATAC